CCCAGGGATGGCTTTATTTTTGATACATCCATGTATGATATTTAGGTATATACATAACACATTTATAGCTTTCATTTTAAATGAGATGTTTATTCCTTGTTTTGGTGAGTGCGTAATGTGTCTTGGTAAAAGTTTAAAAGATTCTCTGACAAGTTAGGGGAACAAGGTCCCCTAAGAAGTGCCTGGTTTGCAGTTGCTGTTTCTCCACCTTCAGTCCCTGCATCTTTCGCAGAGCTTCCAGCAGCGCTGTGCTGGGACAGAGCATCCAGAGGTTCACGCCCTCTGTGGTCCGTAGGAGCCGCTATGAGGAGGGTCCAGGGAGGAATATACCACTTTCAGTGGGAAGCAAGTGGAGGTTACTGGCTATGATGGCTTGGTTCTTTGGGTTTGGATTTGCTATACCTTTCTTAATAGTAAGACATCAACTGCTTAAAAAATAATCAATGAGACAGTTAGGAAGAGGAGCATATTAAGAGGTGGAATCTCTTAAAAGGATCAAACCCTTGAACTCAGCATCCTAGATATGTTTATAAATAAACTTATGGCATAAATCCTTAATGCCTCTTCTCTGGAACATGAAAGTGAAACTGAAGTCACGCAGTTGTGTCCACCTTTTTCCAACCCTGTGGTCTGCAGCCTGCCAGCCTCCTCCATTCATGGGATTTTCCAGGCACGAACACTGGAGTGGGGTGCCATTTCCTTCTCCAGGGGATCTTCCTGACCCAGGGATTGAACCTGGGTCTCCCGCATTGCGGGCAGACTCTTTACTCTCTGAGCCACCAGCGATGATAATTGAGCATGTGCTTATTGTATTTTATTTGGGTAATATTGCTTTATTACTTTCTTGATTAAATATGTGATTTAAAAGAAAAAAAATTCTCTCACAATGTAGCATTTTATCCATATACCAGGGTTCATTACTTTAGGATATACTTTTCCAGTTGTGTCATTAGCATAAAATGCACTGCCTTTTGGAAAACTTGTGTTCTCTGGAGAACATGTAGGAAACAGATTCTTGCACTGACCCAGGAGGGAAGTAGGTGGTGATGAGGGCAGAAAGGAGGGATGTTTTTAGGAGTATTTAGAAGGTCAATGCGATATTGGGAGAAGGCAATGGCACCCCACTCCAGTACTCTTGCCTGGAAAATCCCATGGACGGAGGAGCCTGGTAGGCTGCAGTCCATGGGGTCGCTAAGAGTCGAACATGACTGAGTGACTTCTCTTTCACTTTTCACCTTTATGTATTGGAGAAGGAAATGGCAACCCACTCCAGTGTTCTTGCCTGGAGAATCCCAGGGACGGGGTCGCACAGAGTCGGACACGACTGAAGTGACTTGGCAGCAGCAGCAGCAATGCGACATTGTACAGCAGTGATGCTCCAGTGAATTGCTTTCCTAGGTATTTATTTATCTTGGTTGTGAGGAGTCTTGGCTGCTGTGGGCTCTCTCTCGCTGCGAGCAGCGGGGGCTCCTCTCTCGCTGCGACGCACGGCTTCTCGTCGTGGTGGCCTCCCCTGTTGCAGAGCACGGCCCTCAGGCAGCGGGCTCAGCAGTGTGGCCCTTGGGCTCCGGAGTGATGGCTCCATGGCTTAGTTGCTGTGTGGCATATGGGATCTTCCCGGACTAGGGATCGAACCAGCGTCCTTTGCATTGCAGGGCAGATTCTTAACCACTGGAGCACCAGGGAAGCCCCAAATCTTTTTTTAAGAGAGAAATATTTAGACGATAAAGCCAGTGGAACTTGATATCAGAATATAGTTTGTAGGGGAATCTGTAAGGGTGAGGGATGACGCCTAGGCATCTGGCTGAGGAGTTGAGTAGGAAGTGATGTTCCTCACCAGGTTGGAGAAAAAGGGAGAAGTGACGCATTGGCAGGGGGCTAGCGAATTTTAAGCAGAAATCACCACAGAAGCGTAAATCTAGTTGTTGGAAGATTGATTACTTTTACTCAGTCTTGTAGTTGCCTGGTGTCTAACGAAGAAGAAGGTTTTATTGTTGAATAACAGGAACTGTAACTGCCTTAGGAACCGAAATGTTCAGTGCTTTTGTCCACATGTTCTCTCCCTGTAGGCAGATCTGTGTAAGTGACAGAAGTGTAGTCAGGAGACTGTCTGATGGAGGGGAGCCAGGGGAAGCTGGCTGAGGCGTCTTTTGACTAGACAGACCTTTGTTGGCAAAGTAATGTCTCTGCTTTCTAATATGCTATCTAGGTTGGTCATAACTTTCCTTTCAACCAAATATTTTTTTAAGGGAGAAATATTTAGACAATAAAGCCAGTGGAACTTGATATCAGGATATAGTTTGTAGGGGAAACCATAAGGGTGAGGGATGACGCCTAGGCCTCTGGCTGAGGAGTTGAGTAGGAAGTGATGTTCCTCACCAGGTTGGAGAAAAAGGGAGAAGTGACGCATTGGCAGGGGGCTAGCGAAATTTAAACAGAAATCCCCACAGAAGCATAAATCTAGTTGTTGGAAGACTGATTACTTCTTCTCAGTCTTGTAGTTGCCTGGTGTCTAACTAAGAAGAAGGTTTTATTGTTGAATAGCAGGAACTGTAACTGCCTTAGGAACCAAAATGTTCAGTGCTTTTGTCTACATATTCTCTCCCTGTAGGCAGATCTGTGTAAGTGACAGAAGTGTAGTCAGGAGACTGTCTGATGGAGGGGAGCCAGGGGAAGCTGGCTGAGGCGTCTTCGTGGCTGCTCTGTCAAGGTGTGACATCTGTCTATGGGGACTTCTGTGTCCCGTACTCAGAAGCTCAGGGCTGACCTCCAGATCATGTCTTGAAACTTTGGGCTGAAATGTTGAGTGCCAAGGATGCCAGGTGGGGGTGCCGTCGCGGGGCACCCGTCACGTGAGCAGGCACTCTGAACGGTGAGGAGGAGGTCTGGGCTAAGCAGAAGGGTGCTCTGTCAGCGGTTGTGTCTGCCGTGGGTGCAGAACAGGGTGAGGCTCTGTTCAGCGGGCATTAGTCAGGCCAGGCTCAGAACATATTTATTATAGAACTGAGCCACAGTTTTTTAATAGAAACATTATGAAGAGAGGAAGAGAGAGGAAGGAAGGAAACATTTATCTGAAACCACACACCAAATTGAGAGACAGGCTTTCTTGACCTGTTTTCATTCTGGCATTCTGACCTCGTGTAAAGAGGCAAAAGGAAAATTTAACAGGCAGCTGTCCTGGTTGACGTGTCAGCTTTGCAGGGGCTAGTTTGGTCAAGGTCATCTGACCTATTAAGTTTGCGCTTGTTTTGCCATGGTCATTTCTCTTTATGTGTGGAAAGACTCTCCCCTAGCTGATTTCTCTGGCCTTAAAAAAGAACAATCAGTTTTTCTTGCTGAGATTCCTTCTTTTATCTTCCAACTTAATATTTTGGATCAAACATGCAATTAAAATTTATCATAGGTAAAAATAGTAAGCTTTTCAATGTAAGAATCGTTTTCTCTATAAAATTAAAGCAGGATTGTAATGATTTATTTTAGCTCATGAATACATGTATATGATGTATAGTTCCATTTTACTAAATTTACATTTACTTTTGAATTATGTGCCATTTTCCCACATTGTAAAAAATGATAAACCTACCGAGATGGAAAATCTCTAAATGGTGATGGTTGGGCTAGATTTCAGAGTATTGGTGAAGAAGTAGCATTAAAGCCTGAGACTGGTTCCCTAACTTTTCGTGGCCAGTGGCCCAGTTAGACCTTTAAACAGAAGACGCTGCTCCTCTTTTCAGATCCTTTTGTGTCTCATCTGTTACTGAACTGTTCACATGCCTTTGGGAATCTTTGAGTTCTCCATTAATTAAGACTTCAAAACATTCTGATAATAGTTAAAAATAGTATTTGCATTAACAGGTTTTCCTCAAGAATTCCCGTCTACTATTTTGGCTATTTTGTTTTTAGCATTTAAGGCTTGTATCATCTATTTAAAATGAGGCCATTATATTACATATGTGAAAAAAAAGTGAATTATTTTTGACTTAGAAGATACTTTAGAGAAAATCTTAACATGTAATCCTTTTATCTTTTATACCAGAAAGTTGAGACTAAAAGAATTGGATGACTTCTAAGTTTCCTGAGAGAAAAATTGTGATTTTTTTCAATATATAATTTTGGAACTTAAAATTAATGAACATTTGGATCAGTTAACCAATTGAAAAATAACATAGTTGTTATATTTTTCTTGGTAAAAATTAAGCCGAAGGCTACATGAATAATGAACACATCATTTTAACTAATAATCCTTCCTCATTTAAGTAGACATTGAAAAGTTTATCTATTTAAACTAATGATTTTAAATTCATTCTTCCATTAAGAAAAAAAATTATTGGGTATATTTCTTTGAGCTGACAAAACTCTTGCTTCATTTTTATAGTTTCATTAATTGAGTAAATGATCATGTAACTGAATATAATTTAGTCAGCTCTGCGAATTTTGTAGTAATTTTTCTTTGAGGGCTGAAATACATAATTGGAAAGAGGAGGAAAACAGTTTTACTTCTTTATGTGAATATATTATCTTGTGAGACAGTTAGTTCTTCCAGAATGAGATATTAAAACTTAGTTAATGGACTTTTGCCAGTAAGGAGTACTTAGAATTCACCTGGTTCAACAACTTCCCTTCGTAGACAGTGAAGCTGAGACGCAGAGTGTAGGAAATTCCCCGGTGGTCCAGTGGTTAGGACTCTGCACTATCACTGCTGAGGGTGCAGGTTTGATCCCTGATCAGGGAACTAAGGTCTCACAAGCCGCCCCACTCAGGGTGACATGTGACCAGAAAAAAACTCAGATCTTTAGTTTCTTTGTCCAGTGCGTTTCACTCACTCACACATTATGAATGGCATCACTCAAGATGCTATTAAAAAGAAAGGAGTGTGGGCAGAATGCGGAACCTGTTAAGTTGAAGAGTCACTCAGTGGACTTACAGCGTTTGTGCTTCATAGAAAATGCTTCTACGCGGGGAATAATTACATCGATAAACCTGATTTTTCTTCGTTTTAGGTGAGAGTTACGTGTGCGCATCGAATGAACCGTTTCGGAAAGTGGACTACACCAAAAACGTTAATCCGAACTGGTCTGTGAACATCAAGGGTGGGACCCCCCGAGCCTCGGCTCCCCCCTCCTCAGTGAAGAGTGAAGTGAAGGAAAGTAAAGACTTCATCAAGCCCAAATTAGTGACTGTGATTCGAAGTGGAGTGAAGCCTCGAAAAGCTGTGCGGATCCTCCTGAATAAGAAGACGGCTCACTCCTTCGAACAGGTCTTAACAGATATCACCGAAGCCATTAAGCTGGATTCAGGAGTGGTGAAGAGGCTCTGCACGCTGGACGGGAAGCAGGTAGGATGTTCGGGCCCCACACGCCCTAGCTTGCTTTTAAACCTCTCTGTACCACGGGAGTTACATAGTTAACTGTGTGAGTGTCATCGTTCACTGGAAACGATCCTCCTGTTGTTCTTGTAAGGAGCGTGTGCATGTTGTCTTTACCATGAAAAGTGTAAGCAAGCGGCTTCCCTGTCTCTTTACCCAAGTATCTCAAAAGAGATGGAGAGAAACCTGTCATAAACTTTTTGAAGTATAGTATTACTATTGTTTAGCAAAGTGATTCAGTTATACATATATATGTGTATAAATTACACAGGAATATGCAGGCTAAATTATAGTAACAATATACCAGGGAACCTAATATGCTAAAAAAAAGTTGAGTAGATTGCAAGAATGCATGAATAGCAGATATACAAATATTGAGTTTCACAACAGATTATCATTTCTAAAAAGAAACATGAGACTTCCAAAGTGTATTTTTTCCTAATTTCAGTAGTTAAGTTGTTCAGATTTACATTGTATTAAACATTTTAGTTTCCAGCATTCTATTTGATACTACATTCCATTTTATTTCTTCCCTCTGACATACTTAATTTATTTTGAGGTGTTTGGCTTGTGTAGTGCTGAGAATGAATAATAAAAAACACGGGAGCCATGTCTTCTGTAAAAACACAATTAGTTTCTAATTTTCTAAGACCAGGTCTAGTTACTGGGCTATTATCTTAAACATAAAATTGTATACAGTAGATTCTGAAAGTTCTAGTACATGATAGTGAGTTTACAGTGACTTTATTGATTAAAATTAATAGTGAGAAGGCATAACATTTCATAGCAGCCTGTCCCAAAATAGGTTCACAATATGAATGGAAATAGACACTTTACATTTTAAGTTAGTAGCACAGCACAACACAAAACACCTTAAGATTCATCTTGCAAGTAAGAAAAAATAAAAAATTAGACCACAGGACAGAAAGGAGATTTGGTAAATCAAATAGCTGATTGTTGGTGGACACATAGAAGACAAGAAGTGGGAAGACAGATGTTTAAGATACCTAACAAAAGGAAAAATGAAAATCAAAGGTGCAGCAAGTTAGAAAACGTAAACAGAGTATAAACTGGAATTCATTAAAGATTTTAAAAGCAGAAACCGATTTGGAAATCTCCAAATGAATGTTGTTCAGGGAAAATGTAAATAAACTATAGAAGTTGAACATCTAATTAAAATAGAAATCAATGAAATTTTAGTATTCAGAAAATTATCTTTGAAAAGACTCCAGATAGAAATATTTACATGTAAAAATATTAAGTAAAACACAAGCGATGCAAATCACCAAATTATTAAAGACTATTGTTATGAGTAGACTTATGACAGAAATTAAAGGACGGCTTACTATTAAGAAACCCTTTCATACATGAGATCTAGAGGAAAAAGCACAGTCCCAAAAAAATGTCACAAAGGCATTGACAAAATACAGATCTATATTCTGTTAAAGATTCAGTAGTAAAATGGGGGATGAGTTCTTTAATACACTAAGAAAAGAAAAATTCTTACCTGAAACAAAAACCCATGGCAGTTCGTTTCAGTTCAGTCTCTCAGTCGTGTCCGACTTTTGCGACCCCGTGAACCGCAGCACGCCAGGCCTCCCTGTCCATCACCAACTCCCGGAGTCCACCCAAACCCATGTCCATTCAGTCAGTGATGCCATCCAACCATCTCATCCTCTGTTGTCCCCTTCTCCTCCTGCCCTCAATCTTTCCCAGCATCAGGGTCTTTTCAAATGAGTCAGCTCTTCGCATCAGGTGGCCAAAATATTCTAGTTTCAGCTTCAACATCAGTCCTTCCAATGAACACCCAGGACTGATCTCTTTTGGGATGGACTGGTTGGATCTCCTTGCAGTCCAAGGGACTCTCAAGAGTCTTCTCCAACACCACAGTTCAAAACCATCAATTCTTCTGTGCTCAGCTTTCTTGATAGTCCAACTCTCACATCCATACATGACCACTGGAAAAACCATAGCCTTGACTAGACAGACCTTTGTTGGCAAAGTAATGTCTCTGCTTTTCAATATGCTGTCTGGGTTGGTCATAACTTTACTTCCAAGGAGTAAAGTGTCTTTTAATTTCATGGCTGCAGTCACCATCTGCAGTGATTTTGGAGCCCCCAAAAATAAAGTCTGCCACTGTTTCCACCATTTCTCCTTCTATTTGCCATGAACTGATGGGACTGCATGCCATGATCTTAGTTTTCTGAATGTTGAGCTTTAAGCCCACTTTTTCACTCTCCTCTTTCACTTTCATCAAGAGGCTTTTTAGTTCTTCTTCACTTTCTGCCAAAAGGGTGGTGTCATCTGCATATCTGAGGTTATTGATATTTCTC